TCCTCTCTGTAAACTGACACTCAAAAATACCATCAAGAGCTCAGCAAATTAAGTTTAGGCATTCGTCCAAAACAAAGTTGGCATACATTTGTAGACTTAGTCTCATTTCTTCACCAGCTGGATTTTCTGAAGTCGAAAGTCTCGTAAACCGTATGTCTTAAATCAATAGAGAATCAAATGAAGTAGTCGTTTACGAGTAAACGGTCTCTTGACCATAAATGTCAAATAAAAAAGCCTTAAAAAACGGCCTTACTACCTCAATACACAACCTCAATGTAATTAAATAAAATTGATTCAATTTGTTTGGTAAAAGGTGTCTATTCACCACATGAATTTGTAGCGGTAACCAAACTATTTTCAATAATTTCTCACCAGGTTTTACAATTATAAATTCAGATAATAATCATAGAACCTGGTGAGAAATTACTGAAAAAAATACTCTTCGTTCATATAATTATGTTTTAATATAACGGGAATTCTTCAGCGAGTAAATAGGCCCCCAAAATAAATAGTTCTGTAGGTCTTCGACAGATGAAGCTGAAATTTAGACTTGTTTTACCTGGTCTTAACATAGATTTGTTAAATAATATATAACTATATAACCAATCATTATTACGAATGCTCAGTATTTATAGCACATGTACTCCTGAGGTGAATGACTTTGGATTTGCTTGATTTTATTTATGGAAGGTATGAAGCGCTAAATAAATCCTCAAAATCAATAGGCTTGCAAGTCTTCAATCTTTGATGCTGATCACACTAGATTTAATGGAGTCGCCTAGATGAAAGCGTTCGGTCACGCTTTCGCACCAGATCACGAGTGGGAACGCCGTGCACAGTTTCTCCTGCAAACAATAATCAATGTAGACCAGTCGCTTCTCGATATACTAATAACCTATCAAATGTGTCTTCAAACCTCCGCGCTTCAGACTTTTCATTTCACTGGGTGGGGACGTTTCGATTATAGAAGGTGTTACTGGCTGGTGTTGTCAAAATAAAAATACTTGAGGCATCTTCATTGGTGAGCCGACGTGATCTGGTACACCAACTTGCATATTGTGAGTCTGTTCCTTTTTGGAACATCGTATACCACTTCTTTAACTTTTATATAATGTGATATTTTTTCGTACTTTCGGATATTGAAGTTCAAAAAGCTATAGCTAATCTGAAACGAGGAAGAGCAACTGGTCCAGATGGATTGGCTCCAGAGGTCATTAAATATGGCGGTCCAGTTTTAGCAACCAGGTGAACTAACCCCATGTGAATGGCTGCGATCACTGGTTGTCCCAATATACACGAAGGGGTAAAAATAATCCTATGAAAACCACAGAGGGATAAGTTTGACTAATACAGCATCTAAAGGGAGATTGATTATTGGTAGTAATCTTAAGTGCTGGTAAAATGGTTAGGGCTGTTGTCATTTCCCGGCTGCCTACACCGAAAAGGTGTTCCTATAGGGGTACCTGAAATAAAAATTGGATTAAAGGTGGCCTTAGTGACCTGAGAATGTGACCGCAGTGCCAAAGGAAAAACTGCTTGAGGTCGGTCACACACGACCTTTTTGTGAGTAGTTTTTGTGTTTGCTACATATTTGTTGAGACCTTACCACCGGAGGGCGTAAGCCGTGGGATGAGGTGAGGTGTGCATTTTTAGGTTCTACCTTCTCTAACCACACCCCTTCTTGTAGGAGGGCAGGATCGCTGTCATGTTGGTTGACTGAAGGAAACACCTTACTGCCATCACACCTCTGTACAGTCAACAGTACGACTTCGCCCTCGGACCTTGGGTTTACTGCTTTTAGTCTTACCGCTCTTCAACCTACTTGTCTGGCATGGTAGGAGCTTGAGGAACAATTATTCTTGCCAGTATAGTTAGATTGGTTCACTACGATAGGCAAGGCCGGCCACCACGTCAACGTAGCAGAAACGGTCAGGTGGCCATTAAGTGTAGAAGATACTCGTAAGTTACTATTACGTGACGACAGATGTTTTAGAAATATTGCTCGCATCTGCTGAGATCACCGGGTAAGTAATAGTGAGGTTAGACTCAAAGTATTTAGGAATTGTGGTAAACCAGATGATGATGTTGTGAATCTTCAGCGACTGAAATGGTTGGTTCAGGTGTTACGTATGCCTGAACACCGATTACCACGACGTGCAATGCTGACCGGTGTTGGGGATGGTTGGAGAAAGTTAGGGGTGGCCAAACCAAAACGTGGCATCAGTCCACAAAGTCACTAACTTCTAGTCTGAGCCATGTTGGTAGATGCAGACTACTTGGCCGGGGTCCGCGCGACTATCGTAACCAACGGTTGGAGACTCTTGGTGACATGGCTCAGAATCGAACAAAATGGCGTAGGTGTATACACTCTCTATCTGCCCTTAAACTATGAGATTAAAATCGCTTCATATCTTTCTTTCTACGAAATAATTCTTTCTTCCTGTAATATATCCTTATATTCAATCTTTCTTTCATATATTACTACCACTGAATTTACTACTTCTATGAATCCGGTATTCATCTTGTTGTGTTAATGAGGTATGGCAACTTGAACCGATGCATATATGTGCCTGATCCTACGTTTTAGCTGACTGACTGGCTGGTAGAGAGTGTTACCGCTTAAAGTGTTGTCAAACTAAAAATACATGTGGAATTTTCAGGTATAAGATAACATAGTTACAAGACTTCGTCAACTCTAGTTTAGTAAGTATCCTGATCAAAAATTGCGCCCATATTCATTTCCAGACACAGAACTACACAATGGGAGTTGATTTAATTACTTGTAAACCGTTATTATAAAAAGCATAAAAGAATTCACTTTTCTATCCGTTGTAACGTAAGGAAAAAATATTGGGGACACACCCTCACATTCCTAAAACTTATTATGATTGTTAAGAAGCAGAGCATTGTGGTGGCACTTAAATCCCTAAAATAGACAGTGCTATAATTTTCGACAATGAATTTGACCACAGTCATTCTGTTGGATACACCCTATCTGGAGAAACTCGGACCCGTATCAACGCTGAAGCACGATCGGTGATCCATACCACACATCTCTTGTCTTTGTTTCTAGGGCATTCACCCACAACAGCGTAGTCAAGCACTGAATATCTGTGATAACCATTAACAAAATATATATCTCAGTGCCTGGAAATCCGTTCAGAGAGCTCTTATAGACGCTCCATTTTTCTGGCAGTTGCTTTTAAACAGAACTTTGTCTCGTAGTACTGAAAATTTTATTGGTTGGTGAATATAATTCAAGTCATGTTCGATTGGGCGAAATTACCATATCATTTGCAGAAGCGCTTAATTCGTATAGTGCGCCTTCTTTGGTTTACATGCGACGTAGTGAGTATGAGTATTAAAGCTTACCTCTGGTCTTCTTGTTAAATTGGTCATTTCATCATCGGTAACCTCAATTTTTACGACATTGACTGGCAGCAGCAACTTCAGGTAATATTCACAAGTTAGTCAGAATTTCCTAACGCGCTTATGACCTTTCACTGATGACTCCGGAGCCATGATAAAGTCTCAAAAACTTTTAGCCTCGACCATACAGTTTCTATATTGTTTGTGTGCACTTCGGTTGTTGAGTACACAATATGCTACTTGTCAATAACGACACGATGCACATAACCAAGCCTATGTAAGAGTGTACGCTTTCCAAACATCCGTATATATTGTAGTACTTGGCTGCAGCCAGTGTTACTGGCGCTTTTATTATCCAGTTGTATGTCCTTTAAGTTCGCCTTGATTTCCCCACTCTTGTTTGTTTGAAAACCTACTACTTAAGTAGTAGCGGTGCACTATATTATTTTGGAATGCAGCTTCAAAACTAATTTCACAAACTTAAAGTCAACTAGATATTATATAGTTCAGGACTTTAGTTAATCTGATCGTCCCTTAATTCAATGATTGAAAATAGTATATTTCTTACAGATCATTTGTATACACATTATTCTCACGACCACGTTGTTGATTCATTTTATGAGGCCGGTAGATTGTGGTTATACTGTGTTGATTTTTGTATTAGGTATTATCAGCATACTTGGCGTTTTGACTTAAAATTAAGTCATAAAGATCCAGTTTACGACGTGATCGTTTAGAGCTGGATAGTATGGTCCAGTTACTCAGTGCGCAGGTATTTGTTCGTGGACTACACTTTAGGTAATATTTCAATGGAGGGCTACTTTAGCACCCCAACTGAATTATTCTGACATCTAACTCAATGTTTGAAAATCTACTGCTTGAATAAGTGTTCTACGTTGTGGATAAATTAATAAAAGCTTCGTTAAAGGTATCTAGTTTGTTCAAACGTTTCTTTTAATGGAGTTGTCTCAATATTCTGAACACTTTTTTCAATTAAAAACGTAGTGGCCCTGTTGATCCGACTCCGTTTTGTATGAATGAGTGTGCCGTGAACAATAATCTCCCGTTTAATTCCGTATACTATACCTGGGCTAACCCTGCTTGTGTGGCGGCGGTAATATGGATTAAGTTGGATTGGTTTATTTCATGCAATCGTTTACTCAGACATTATAATGGGAAGCAGAAAAATCAAAGGGAAGCGAAGAAGTCAAGCGCGCTAACTCATATTGATAAAACGTGACTAGTTATAGTCAAACAAAAATAAGCTAAAGACGTGGTAAATGGGGGTAAGAGAGACACACTCCTAATTAGAAACAGTCCAGTTTATGAGCAAGTAGTTGACGAAGTCAAGATGTGACTCAGGAAGAATAAATTAACTGGTCTATCTGGAAAATAAAACAACCCATTCAAGCGTAAAATAAAACTAAAAACTACAAACTACAAGTTTTGTTCGTTATAAATCAAGATTATCTTAAGTCTCATATGCTTATGAGTTACTCAATAAGTGTGTACTGATTTCTGTTCATCTACCTAATTAAGCTCATATGCTCTGCTATGCTGCCTATTAAGTTATTCAAAAAAATGTTTTTTAAACTAAAATTTTGTTTCCATTTAGGTCTAACTGTTTAAATATGGATACGTCAATGGAAGATTTGTTTTCCGATTTTGATAAATCTACTGTTTTAGTTGAGACAGGTAATGGATTACAGTGAGCATGCCAGCGAGTCATTGTTAGGTTTAAACTGTTCTGATTTTTAAAAGATGTTTTTTACTCGTTTCAATAACATAAATTGATGAAGCAAAATGTGGACACTGGTTTTAGGACGTTTCATACCATAAAAGTGTTTACCTAGCCAAATACATGCGTAGCTTTTTGGCCAATAGTAATGACGTGAATTTTTAACTCATTACATATTTTATGTGATCAAATATAGTGTCAAACTATCCAAAGATCACTATTCATAATCAATCTCTCTTTAGATGCTATATACCCCTTCGTGTATATTGGGACAACCAGTGGTCGCGACCATTCAGATGGGATTACATCCAGTTCCCAGATTTTAGCTAAAATATTAGTCGACATGGTTGCTAAGACTGAACCGCCATATTTAATGACCTCTGGAGCCAATCCGTCTAGACCAGTTGCTCTTCCTCGTTTCAGATTAGCTACTTCAATAATCCATTCAGGCTATTTGGGAATGGTGGGTGTTTGTAGAGTAGCTGGAGGCCAGTTGAATTGCTCCTTAAAGTTTTCCACCCATCGTCCTAAAAGTTCGGGCTGAGAGCAGATAAGAGTGTCATCTTTTCCTGAGATCGCCTCAATTACACTTGACTTTTAAATCCAGTTTCTTTTTAATTACCCTCCGGAAAATTCCCATATATTAAAAACAATTGTCTTTTTAATTAGTCTGAAAAACTGTCTGGTGTTACCTACAGCCGCTGCCTTTCTATTTCTTTTACTTTTGTTACCCACCACTACTCACGATCGTTCCATAGATCTGATGTACATATAAATAAACATACAGTACCAAACTTGAACTGTAAACCCACTTAATGAAGGTTAAGTGTTGAAATCTTGATGCAGCTTTGTTTGTCATTAGCTTTTAAATATTTTTATAACATGCGAATATATTTTAAAACTCTACAAAAATAGTATTTGCAATTTGTACACAGTAATCAATACGAATCGTCACATGCCTGATTGTTCAGTCACAACATCCACCTCTTAAAAAACATTTTTAAATTGTAGTACAAGATTTTCGGGTTTTTTCAGTTATTATTATTTCTTAGTCTAACTAACTGTCTAATTTTATTAACTATCCCTGTACGGGACAAAATGTACGTTAGTTGTTGGACGCCCAGTTAGTACTGTATTTTTTCATACAAAACTCATGGTACCACCAATGCGGATGAGACTTCCAGGATGTGGACAGTCCACTCGATCATATCACTCCCTATAGCCATTTCTTTAGTTACACAATATCTTTTATTTATTGACTGTTAACTAGTTAAATCATTCACTAGATAGTTGAGTATGAGCCACACTTTAAGTTCAGAGACTACTGTTACCATTCGATTTCCTGAACCGAATCCCTTTACGCTAACCCACTTCTCTACTTTTTTATTGATTCGTTTACGGTAATTTGTTTTTTAGTGAGCTACTACATCAAGAATTCTTTTAACGTTATAAATAAGCAAACAAGTAAGCGAATAATCCTCCTAACCTTGCCGTTTTTCATGTTTTTTTATGGAATGATACAATAATGTTCTTAGTATTAATTCTTAGCAGATACAAAGAAAAATAATACAGAAAAGCATGACTTAATGGTACTTGCTACTGAGACAATAGGCAATGAAACTATACGTATTGAAGGTGTTCACCAAGCTTCTACTCAAAGTCTATGCTTAACCATTGAATTACATGAAAACTCTTTGTAAGTCTATTTTTATTGTATTTTCAGTTATATATATATGTTCAAGTCGACAAACTTGTTTCCTATGTATACAGAAATGACCAACTTCTTCTGAACGAATACTTTGATCACAATTAGGTTTGAATCAATTTCCTTTTAGTTCACAATTCAGCGCTCCACCGCGTGAACATTGAAATACAATCGCTACTTATATCTCTTCATTTTAATGATAAATTTTATATTTCTAATTGTCGTATTATTTAAAATATTCACCAAGCTACATTTATTTCATCAAACCAACATACCAACTATGTCTTCTTCCCAAATGAAATCAAATTATTAGATAGGGTTAGAGGCTAAGTTATTAGTTGATAAAAACGGGATCAGCAGCTTAATGTATTTATATGTGACCACAAAGTCAAACTTAAATCCAGTTTAGTTAGCCTTAATTTACATAGCTAGACTTCATTTTTATTCCATCCAGGCAGTAGGTCCCTATCACAATTGATTGATCACTGGGTTGTGATAAGTATCATGTGTGTTAAGTCCTTATTAGTGCAGATCGAATGCTATCGACCATGTTGCAATGTAGCCACCAGTCTAGGTGACTCGACACTGCGTGCACTATGTTGAGATAAGATGGTGGTTGGAGGTAGTCAACGGGAAACCCTGGACCCGGGACTTGACACACATGACATTGGTCATCACCCAGTGATCAATCAATTGTGATTACATCTCAGTCCTACAGGAGGTCGGTCGCGGCCCGGATAGCTCAGTGGTAACGTCTCTGACCGTGAAGTTGGGTAACACGGGATCGAACCAGTTCCCTCAAGATTACAGGTACACCTTGCTGACGAGTGCCAAGTAGCACGAAACCCGGGTCCAGGGTTTCCTGTCAACTACCTCCAACCGCCATCTAATCTCAATATATATCTGTATCTATTGATCAACAAGCTAAGCAGTATGACATTAATGGCCACAATGTTGAGCGTTTTATTGCTTCAAATAGCCAACGGAAGTTCTTCATTTTAATTTTTGTTGATGATAACCATTTTTTAGATATTCAACTGTTCAACTTTCATCACAAACTGAACTTGTGACGAGCGTTTCACCTTTAAACTACTGAGTCCACATTTAGTGCTTTGCTTCTTTAACTTTAATCAACTAACGATCTTGCACAAACATTTTCCAATATCGTCAATTGATAACTACCTCACACTTGACATAATCAAACTTCATTGGTGATGGCTTCTCACTAGAACTCCAAGAATAGTCACCCCTTGGAAGTAATCACTAATGGGTACATTATTATCAATATTATCATGACCGGTTTGTGGAGACTGTTGAGTTTTATTTTTTACATCACAGACTGTACTATGTGATAATTATTTCAAATGTTTTGTCATAGTAGTCTAGTAGCATCTAACAACAACCAACCGTCAGTAAGTGTCATGATTCACTGTCTAGTATTCCTTGACCATGATACTTCACTAGACTCCTCTCAGATCAGAAAAATAATTGACAACGAACAGATATATATATATATATAACGTGAACAACAGATATTCAGTTGTAAAGACATTGAAGTTTACACAAGAATCTTCTAACATCTCAATTCGTCCACTAGCTCTGATCGGTTGAAAGTGGGCCAGTCAGCTCGTTTCGACTTTAGCTTGATCACAGCATGCAAACGTTAGAGCTTTATCCTACTAACAGTGGAATATATACGTTCATCTGGTTTGTATTGATACTTTATGTTGGGATTGCGAATTAAAACTAAAGCTCAATAGCCCATCTCTTGTACACATTACTTGCTTCTATAATTTAGAATCCTTTTGTTTTATTGATTTACCGAACAGAATTGATATTATTCATGAAAAAATCTCTGTTAATAATACTTTATTTTGTGTAAATTTAATTTCAGGTTGTCTAGTTGCATTAATTTGGAAATTCCATACCAGTATCCCTCATCGAGCACAAATTTGTCGGAGACGAAGAATATACCAGTTCATATCTGTACTCTTTGTGATAAAAATCACTTTATGAATATAATTACTTATCCACAACATCAAACTTCGACAGTATTTGCTGATTTATCCTTCACATCGTCATCATCCTCATCAATATTCCCTGTTCTAAACGTTTTATTAATATTCTTTGTGATATTAAAAATGAAGATATTAGATGCGATCCTCATCTGGTTCGATTATGTAGCCTTCCAAATGGACTAGTCTATGCTATTTGGTATACAACTATGAATAAAAAACTTCATTGTTCAGTTGCATTTCCATTGTCATGTTGTAAGCCAATCGTGACTTGGGCTTTTATTCGTAATCCTGCAGCTAATTCTACACTGTCTCGTATAATTGACAATACATTAGCAGATAATCGTTGTACTCAAATCGAAAACAATACTGTGAATGATCTGCTTATTGGTTTAACAAAAGATGGTGAAGGTGTAGGTGTTTGGTTCGATTCATCAGATGTTTGTAACAAAAAGTTAGTTCTTATTTGTTTGTTTCCTAATTCGAGGCGCAATTTTGGTTAGTGCTAGGAGTAGATTGGAAAAATGCTGATAGAGGCTGAACCTGAACGTAACATTAATCTATGAAATCACTAAATATCGATCTAAACCACGTTAGTAGATCCAGACTATCTGGTTGGGGTTCGCGTATCTATCGTGACCTGTGGTTCATGTTGAGCGATGCGGCTCAAAATCGACTACGATGTCACAGTAGCAGTCATTGCATTGACCTTTAGATCCTGATTTTCAAAATGATTTTGTGTTTTTTGTTTCGAAAAGTCATTCTCAAATCATAAGTATTATACCTAGACCTTTTTTACTGTCAATATATACTACTACTCTGATATTTATCTTAATTTTATTTTATTGTCCTGATATGTTGTAGCAACTTCAATCGATCCACATTTCTCAAGCGCCGCGTTGCCTATATGAGTGAATAACTGACTTTTTCACTGGTCATGTTTCAATTTTTATCATCGTCATAAGTTTTTTCTTCATATCCTTCTATTTTCCATCAGTATTACGTATAAATAAACAGTGGTCATAATCAGTATTCTGAATTCGATTGTCACAATTTATTTAGATTATTAATGTGTACTACTGGGCGGTTTGAACTTGTCATTTAGTAGTGTCTTTTCTGAAAAGATTTATATCATTTTTAAAGGTAAATTTTGCGGATATATCGACCGTCACAAAGCCACTCACAATATCCAAACAGTACTTGACATTTGTGTTCGTCATGGTTTGGAACTGTTAAACAGTGTACATCCAGGGCCGTACATATAGATGATTAATTCCATGAACTTCAAGTTCTTATAAATCTAAGTAACATATAAATAAAACCAATCATTTGGTAAAGTTGTTGATCTCCATTAGCTGTAGCGATTCGTAACCATTTGCTTCAATGTGGTACACTCAGTCGTGTAAATAGAGAAAAATCTAAATACTGTTAAGACAAAATAAGTTTAATTTTTCCATAATGGGTTTATAACTAGCTTATTTCTCGTGGACGACAACATACCAGCTGAAGCACTGAAATCAGACATCGAAGCAACCACAAGCATGCTGTACCTTCTATTCAAAAAGATTTGGGAGGAGGAACAAGTGCCGATGGACTGGAAAGAAGGACACCTCGTCAAGATTCCAAAGAAAGGAGATCTGAGCAAATGTGAAAACTACAGAGGCATTACACTACTGTCAATACCAGGGAAAGTCTTCAACAGAGTGTTGCTGAACCGTATGAAGGATGCAGTAGACGCCCAACTTCGAGATCAACAAGCTGGATTCCGTAAGGATCGGTCGTGCACAGACCAAATTGCAACACTACGGACCATCGTCGAACAATCAGTGGAGTGGAACTCATCACTATACATCAACTTCATTGATTATGAAAAGGCATTCGACAGTGTAGATAGGAGGACATTATGGAAACTTCTTCGACACTACGGAGTTCCTGAGAAGATTGTCAACATTATCCGGAACTCATACGACGGACTACAGTGCAAAGTAGTGCATGGAGGACAGCTGACAGATGCATTCCAAGTAAGGACTGGAGTCAGACAAGGCTGTTTACTCTCTCCCTTCCTCTTTCTTCTGGTGGTCGACTGGATTATGAAGACCTCAACATCTGAAGGAAAACACGGAATACAATGGACAACTCAGAATCAATTAGACGATTTGGACTTCGCAGACGACCTAGCCCTCCTATCACGTACACACGAACAGATGCAGATGAAGACAGCCAGTGTAGCAGCAGTCTCTGCATCAGTAGGCCTCAGCATACACAAAGGGAAAACCAAGGTCCTCAAATTCAAAGCGGAGAACAGCAATCCAATCACTCTTGATGGCGAAACTCTGGAAGATGTAGAGTCCTTCACATACCTAGGAAGCATCATCGATGAACAAGGAGGTTCAGATGCAGACGTAAAGGCGAGGATCGGCAAAGCAAGGGTCGCATTCCTACAATTGAAGAACATATGGAACTCAAAACAACTTTCAACCAATATCAAAGTGAGAATCTTCAATACGAACGTCAAGGCAGTTCTACTGTATGGAGCTGAAACTTGGAGAACTACAACAACCACCATCAAGAAAGTACAAGTATTTATAAATAGCTGCCTACGCAAGATACTCAACATCCACTGGCCGGATACCATCAGCAATAGCCTTCTGTGGGAGAGAACAAAGCAACTTCCAGCTGAAGAAGAAATTAGGAAAAGACGATGGAAATGGATAGGACATACATTACGCAAATCGTCAAACTGCATCACGAGGCAAGCCCTAACTTGGAACCCTGAAGGGAGGCGAAAAAGAGGAAGGCCAAAGAACACATTGCGTCGGATTATAGAAGCAGATATGAAAAGGATGAATTACAACTGGACGGAGCTAGAAAGGATTGCCCAGGACAGGGTTGGATGGAGAATGCTGGTGAGTGGCCTATGCTCCTTCACGAGGAGTAACAGGCGTAAGTAAGTAAGTAAGTATTTCTCGTGGAAGGCTGTGAACTCTGGTTTAGAAATATGCGTGAACACTAATCACAATTTGTATAGAATATATGGAATCTGGCTAGCAGTGAAATCCAGGAAGCGCATTTCGTCGTATTTGGAACTCATTAGCTGCGTGTACCTTATCTGTCTATTTGAACACAATCATTGATACAAGGGAGGACCAACATATGTATGTGCCACAAAAAGCGATTATCATTCAGTTTTTCTGTGGACTGTATTACTGTTCGGGTACCCAAACCGTCACAGATAATTTTCTGACGAGACCATTCTCCGAGCATTTCACTTACACGTCTAATCCACAAGGTAGTGGAGCAACGTTGGAAGATGCAGTTCAATACTAGCCGGTCACCAATAATATATTCATATTCCATGTGTTTCCCTCAGGATTCTGAGGCTCATGTGCACCATTGTTTTGAAATCAGAGTTTTTCAATTCATCTAGGTGGACCCTCCGTATCCATTAACCCGGTTTCACTGCCGGACATTCGATTTTTGTCCTCTCAATTTCGTAAATAATAGCCCGTCGCGAGAAGGCTGTGAGTAGAACTCCCTTGGCAATGGCCATATACGTATAACCATGTGAGCATTTCTAGAGGGAGTGCGGACCCAGCCGGACCCAGAGTTGATGTTCACCCGGAGACTCGAACCCAATGCTTTTCTCTTCAAACGCCATTACGTTATCCACTTAGTTTCTGGGTCCAGGTAGCTACTCACTTTTGCAACAGGATACGGGTACATTCAACCGACGATTTCCAAATAGGACAAAACGCGCCTCCTGGATCCCGCTGCTATACGCACGAACTATTCTATATCAACCTGTGTCATAGTGGCTATTGCCCCCAAATGCCCTGGTACGGCCGAGAGTGGGGAGAGTCAGCTCCCTCTCGAAATGCTCTGACATAGCCACGCGTATATAGCCTCTGCTAGGGAAGTCCTCACTACCTTCTCGTGGCGGGGGTGCTGTTTGCGAAATTAAGAGGACGAAAAGCGAACGTCCGGCGCTTCAACCGGGTTGGTGGACACGGAGAGTCCATCTAGGGGAGTTGGAAAACCCTGATTCCAAACCAATGGTGCACATGGGCTCCAGTATCCTGAAGGAAGAAGTGGCGTATGAACTAATCGTTGGTCACCGGTTACCATGGGACTGCATCTCCTTACGTTGTTCCACTGTCTTGTGGATCAGACCTTCAGGTCGAAAGCTTCGGGTGTGGCCCCCTAAGAAAACCACCTGCTTCGGTTTGGGCACACGGGCAGTATCACAGCCCTCACACATATCAAATGAGATCTGTGTGGTGCATATGTATTTGGTGCCTCTTTGTACTAATATCTATGTTTTAAAATAAAATAAATAAATAATACATAGTGGCTATTTCGGGGAAGTCTGTACAAGATGCACATAAGCCAACTAAAACTGATCAACTTTTAGTCAAAAGATATTAATAACGGAATTAGCCAGATCATTTCAAATTGAACTGATCACAATGCCTCTTATACTTTTACTCTCCGTAAGTTGTGGAACATTTTTATATCATCCATTACAATGTTGCTAGGCTTCACGTGATTATAAAATTCCTCCAATTAATTTTCTTTATATTCTTTTTTTATAATTTAAAACACGGACTGATTATCTTCGTCAAACGACCACTAAATGTCAGTTTCATCCTCGTGGTGTAAATTCATAATCTCACCGGGTAAGGTTAGTCCACGGAGTTGGTCTCGAGTGGCTTACATCTCTGACTTGAATCAGTTTGCGATATTGTGCATATATCATCCACTACCACTTATGAGCGACTGTCACACGTGAAATGTTTTCCCGCCACCAATGACAGCTCTTCACTAAAGCTCCGATAATTAACCCTAAAAATTAGCCACTGGTTAGAATATGATTGTTATTGGGATTCGTATCCCATGAACTTAGTTTTCTACACTTTACCATCGTTCATATTTCCCCAAATGTTTATTTATTTATTTTTTTGATAAATTTAATTTACTTGCAATACAGAGTTTTAAACATCACTGAATTCAGTTTACCCCAATCACCTGATCCAATTACAAAATGTCGTGCACAAGGTTCATGGCTCCATGTGATCACTCAAAGTGGACATTTAACATCAGTACATTTCAGTTTACAATTAAGACAATGTAATAACAATAATAATAATGAATCAACGAAATGGGATTTGTTATGTCAACCAACTAATTTTCCTCGATTACCTATTCATTTATCACCTGTGAATAATATTGAGCAATGGATAAAATCGTGCCCAAGATGGCGTAATCTTAATGTTTGCGACTTTACTCGTTTGGCTGGTTGGTCGATAAATTTTTATTTGATTTTTGATTTTTTGTTTCAAGTTGTTTAATATGTACTTTCTAGATTTCTTCAGTGTTCTTTGTTTTCTGTGTGTGTTTGTGTGTGTAAACACATATAGGTCGTCCAAATTAAAAAAAAACACAACTTATTTTGTTCATAATTCAGTCAATCATATGCAATGTACAACCTTTCACATATGTGCATCAGTTCAAGTTGCCACACAACATTATCTCAGTATGATGAATTAATCAAGCAAAATCGCATAGTGGTAGAAGTAGTAACAGTATCAGTAGTAGTAAAACGATTAGTTATAAAAGAGGGAAAAAGTACAGGAACGTGTTGAGACTTAGGATCTGACGTAGTACAAAGTGAATTTATCCACACCATTTCAAATAATTCTAATCGATGTCACTCAGTTCTCCCAGTCACTGGTTGTAATTATAGTTAGGATTACAATCAGGTAATCCTCATCTATATACATAGTCCAGCTCAGTTTTCAATGACTTCATGGACCGATGCTACATTTTCTTTTGATCGCCCCTAACTTTATTTCAACCTATTCCTACACCAGATAACATCTCTCATCGAAAGAGGTGGTGTTTGGCCATACGTTATACATGTTCTAACCACCTCGGTGGATGAATATTCACTGCCTTATGAATCGGTTTGCCATCTTTACGTCCTAACGTCAGCCTTGCTCACTCGGTGGTCTCAACATACGTGTGCAATGCTTCGAAGGCATCTATGATTAAATGCTAACAACCTACGTATATCCCCTGTTCTAATGGGCAATGCTTTACACTCACAAAACAGAAGAGAGCAAACTGCCTTACACTGTACTCGTTTTTAGTTGGCAGATGAACGTCTCTCCCATACTACAAGTAACGTAAGTTGGTAAGAGCCAGTACATTTCACAAGGTAATATTTTCCAGTGTAGGCTCTTTTTCATCGTTTCTCTATAGCTCCAAGATTTTCAAACTTTATACTTTTTGTTATATATGCTCAGATTATTCGTTTTTGATCGTAAATTGATTCGAAGCACCGCCCACATGTGATTGAACTATGAAGTGAGTGGTACTGAGGACAGGTGTAGGGTACTAGGTAGAGACAATGAATCTGTATGATCTTCACAAAGGCGGTATTTGGGCATGTCCAGTATATTCACTAACCATCATCTACACCATTACGGAATGCTAACTGATTTTGTAGTAGATTGGAACAAAACTATGAGCAACCAAGATATCATCTCACTCCATACATTCAGTGACTGAAGGTCTAGAAAACCTAGACTGTAATAGATAGGTTAAATATGGAGATCAACGCCGTATTGCATAACTTCAAATTGCTACTGGTCGTAGTTGCTATATGAATATTTCGTCCAGTCTGCCTGTCGTGTCAATCAAACCAGTTTGTATTGTAGGTGGCATTCGTCACGGGTGATGTCATTCAGAGTACCACTAAGAATCAAGGAGCACTAAACGACTGTTTCACCCTAGAATGAAACTTTTCAGCAGTGCATACTGCGACGCACCCGAGGATTGGATCCACAACCTTCAAGTCTCATGCCCAGCCCTTAACCGCCAGACCACCGGATTGAGGGACCCAACGATGCAAATTTCCAGCTCCAATCAATTCACTATATAAAGCGACTATTATCTATTCATAGTCTTTGCAACGACTGTTCCGCTCCAGATCAGTCCTTCATGAAACCATCTACGATGGCAAGTGAGTAGATTAGAAAAATATAACAAATATCCTTTGTCAAATTGTTCGAGATTTCATATTTTTCCAGGGACCAAATGGTTAAAGTCCTTAATCCTAGTTTCAAAGTCCACTCTACGTACTCCATTCTAGAGATCCGGGTAGTAACACCTAACCCTCATGTAAAACAGTCAGTCAAACATAGTCCACACGATGTTAAATCACTTAGACTAGTGAACATAATACAGCTTGAGGGATAGAGTTTTGAGCTCGAATAGATCAATTATAATCCTTCAGATCATGAAGCTGGGTAGTGCGGATCCAACTCCACAGGGTGTATCAGTTCCCTTGTGACTGCATGCACACTTTGCTGAAGAATGCTAACTAGTTTGAAGCCTATATCTAAGGGTTTCCCACTTACTACCTTCAATCAAATAACAAAACAATCACTCTCAAAGTCTACTTTTATAAACATTGAACTTAATTGCATTAAACTTTTTCTCATTGCTATGTCGTATTTGTATTAATGTTGTTATTATTGTCCCCTCACTGTTTTAATTCTCAGTTTTCTCTATCCGTTTTTTGTCTTTCTCTAAACTAGATGGTCATTTGGGTAGTGTTGATTCACAAGGTTGCAAGACACGTCTAGTTGATCTATTATCATCTAAATCTGAAATTAATGCTCCTGTTAATTATACAGAACAACAATTGAATCAAACATTCATGAAATTAATCAAGACAAAATATCAAGTGAAAAGTTATTTAGCATGTCTACTTCTACTAAACCGTTTGAGTAATTTTAAAGTGAATACAGACAAAAATAATTGGTCTCAGTTCCCTTTAGATTGTAAAATCTATTTGACAACATGTCGTGCAGATCATGAGTCAGGAAACCAATCACCTTTGGAATTGATTGTTGATATCACAGTCCAGGTAAATTGATCTTTGTCAAATATAAATTTGAAATAGGTATTTATGTATTGAAAAGTGATATTTCATAACTTTTAGCCTACTATAATATAGTTTTCTTTATTCTGTCAGATTGAATTAAAAGTCAGTGTTAGTTGAATAGCTGTTACTTAATATAACTATGATGTATTTAATTTAATTCATCTTGTTACTGAACTCAACTTTTCTGTGGAAATGAGGCTTTACACCTGCATTGTGTTTTTTGACTATCTAGTTATCTTCAGTAAGGAGTTGTGGAGATTATTGAGTTTTTGATTGAGATCATGAATCGACCAAGATTAGACCACCATTGAAAACCTGGACGACCGTTTCGTCCTAGTATGGGACTCCTCGACAGTGCATCCACGACCCCTCATGCTGGATTCGAACTCATGCTGATAATTACCATGTGCTCACTAGTGACTAGCTTGGAGAGGTAATTCTCGGAGTTCTAGTGAGAAGCCGTGACCAGTGGAGCGAATCCGTGTCAGGTAGGGACAAGTATCTATCTCGAACAATGGAAGTTGGTTGCTCAATTTCGTGAATTATTTGGAGTTAAACAATAACACCGTTGGATGCCGGCTCAGTGGTCTAGAGGTTAGGCGTCTGTGCATGATGCCGAATGTCCTGGCCTCGGTCACGCGAGCGTGATCGTGGATGTGCACCCCCGAGGAGTCTCACACTAGGATGAAATGGCCATCCTGTGCTTCCAGGTGGTCTAATTTTGATCAATTCATGATCTCAATCAAAATATCTAGTTATCCCTTGGTCAGTTATATTTAATTCAACTCTTCCCGAATGAATACACGTATTTATGGGGAGCGACCTAATATATTCCAATAAGCTGAAACAACAAAATATACCATAGTTGTTAGAGTGTCCATAACATCCTTTTTCAAAGTTTCCAGTAGCTTAGGAAACGGCAAGAAATGTTTTATCCATCCAACATTAGATAGAAACACATCAAAAACATCCAAAAAAAATGAAGGATCACTTGTCACGTTTTTGATTGGATAATTACTTATATCACTACTATATTTAGCATATTATAAAAATCTAGACTCACACAACTATAATTATACTCGATTTTCTGTACATGAACTAGCTTTGAAGTCATGCTCTTACATTTCCCCCTTTTCTTTGTTGTTCGGGTTGACGTGTGGATGTAGTTGAGGGTTATAAGAAGCAGTTAAGTAGGTAGTACTAGGCTTTTCAGTAGCAGACTTATTTGTATTAAAAACCTCCGAGTGTAGATGTCGATTTTACTTATCAGTCTTCTAGCATCTTATTGATTTACTCATCAACCATGACTAGTTGAATATGAGTCAGTCATCGTGTTCCGTTCAGAGTATGGAATGACGACGTTGTTCACAAAGGTTTGGGAACTAGAGAGTGTGCCAACGTCATGGAATGAGTCGATAGTTGTCCCTATCTTTAAAAAGGGTTCACGTCGTTCTTGTAACAACTATCGGGGGATAAGTTTACTTCCGATTGCGTCCAAGCTATTGGCTTCCGTCATTCTTCGTAGGTTGTTCAAAACCCGAGAAAGATTGACTCGCGAGGAGCAGGCTGGGTTTCGTTCTGGTCGAGGATGTATTGATCATATCTTCACCCTCCGCCAAATGTTAGAACACCGCCATACTTTTCAAAGGCCAACAATCGTAGTGTTTCTTGACATCAGGGCTGCCTTCGATTCGTTGGATAGGACTGTTCTCTGGGATTGTCTATTGAAGAAGGGTGTGCCTGAGAAGTTTATTAACATCCTAAAAGCCCTGTATAAAAACACCTCAGGCAGAGTGAGGGCATACAACCACCTCTCTCCATTGTTCCATTCGAGCAGTGGGGTTAGGCAGGGTTGCCCAATCTCACCATTCCTCTTCAACTTTGCCATCGATGACATTCTGGAAACAGCTCTGATGAATGTAAGTAATGGTGGTGTGGATCTGTTGCCTGGAGAAAGACTTCTCGACCTTGAGTATGCGGACGATATTGTCTTACTGTGCGATAATGCCCAAGGCATGCAATCCGCACTTAATCAGTTGGCAATCAGTGTCCGTAGGTATGGTATGTGCTTTGCACCTTCGAAGTGCAAAGTACTTCTACAAGACTGGCAGGATTCTAATCCTGTACTCACCCTGGACGGTGAGCAGATAGACGTAGTTGAGAAGTTCGTGTATCTGGGTAGCTGCATAAGTGCTGGTGGGGGTGTGAGTGATGAGATCAATGCACGAATAGTGAAAGCCAGAGCGGCTTATGCCAATCTGGGCCACCTTTGGCGCCTTCGTGATGTTAGTCTGGCTGTAAAAGGCCGGATCTACAACGCGTCGGTGAGAGCAGTTTTGCTCTATGCTTGTGAAACCTGGCCTCTCCGAGTTGAGGACGTTAGACGACTCTCTGTGTTCGATCATCGCTGTCTCCGAAGGATTGCTGACATCCAGTGGCAACACCATGTCAGTAATGCAGAGGTTCGGCATCGTGTGTTCGGGCACAGAGATGATAACTCAATTGGTGTCACCATCTTGAAACACCGACTTCGGTGGCTTGGACATGTTCTCCGAATGTCGTCCCAGAGAATTCCACGTCGTGCATTATTTGCCGACTCTGGGACTGGTTGGAAGAAGCGGAGAGGTGGTCAGTGCATGACATGGTGTCGTGGCATGAAAGAAAGCTGCAAAGGACTGGCTTGTGTTGGTCCTTCACGACTCCCTGGCTGGGGTCCGAGAGATGGTGCTACACAGTGGCTAGAGACGTTATCAGATATGGCTCAGAATAGAAGCCAGTGGCGATCCTGCTGTAACCTTCTTTTACTTTCTTCATAAAAAGTGGTTGTGTCTCCTTTACCTGAAAGATTTCTTCTGATTGTACCTTATCGTCATTACTCTCTTTTTCTTTTGCGTTCCTTAGTTTTTTTTTTTTTCTTCTTCTCTTCGAATTCCCATTGTTTTGTGTGGCGCATATATATTGGCGCTCTCTTGTACCAATATTTATGTGTTCAAATAAATAAATAAATAAATAAAATAAATGGAATAATCACTGACAAATAAACTATTTATCTTATCGCTATAAAATAAAATAACACTTTGTTATGAACGGGGAATTAAGAAGCCCAGACAATTACGAAAGCTATTTTCTTGGGACGTTATTGTATTTCATTCAAGCCCTGTAAAACACTTATATTTATTTTTGTCCCTATCTTATTCTACATAACACGAGATTTCGTTCTATGTATCATTCACTAGCATACCCTTTTTTGTTCCAAAAATATTGTAATTTAAACATTATATTTTGCACTATAATTTCTACCCTAATTCCCTGTTTCGGGCATAACTGTATTTTTCCAAATTATCCTACGTCGTGGTCAAGATATGCACTTATTTATTCATGTACATTTTTGTAGTAATCCGAATTCAGAGAATCCAGAGTTTAGTGTTCCAACTGTCTTGTCTTCTTTCACTTGTGTGCTTGCCAACCAATCAGGATTTAGAATAGTTCTCTCTACCCCATCTCGAACTCACGCATATTAGACTCAAGGTTAAGCCACTCAGCCTAACGCGTCAAGGTCATAATTCAGACTACACCGACCAAGGTGAAGTCATAACAAGTATCACGGGGTAAAAGCGACTCAAGGTCATAACAACTGGCGACGGAGAATTTTTTTTTCTTTCCTATATTGATTGATCCAGTACAAAATGCCTGTTTCATTGGATGACCTTAAAACTATTCTTCAAATGCAGCAAGCACAAAATGAGGCAAATCAGACGAAGCTTTTGGATGCATTCGCACGAATGTTCTCATTACAGTCGTCCTCAGCTTGTCAATCAGATAAGCATGAAAGCATCATAAATTCTATTTCTGAATTCCAGTATGATCCTGAAGCTAATATCATTTTCAGTTCGTGGTTTCACCGTTGTGAAGATATTTTCCGCGTTGAATGCTCGCATCTTGATGACGCAGCGAAAGTCCGCTTACTCTTAAGAAGACTGGGAACACAGGAATATAATAAATATGTGAATTTTATCTTGCCGCAAAATCCACGAGATGTATCATTCAAAGATACAGTCCAGATTTTATCTGATATTTTCGATGAACAGTCCTCATTATTTAATACTCGCTATAAATGCTTCCAAATAACGAAATCTCCAGAGGACGATTATCTCACGTATGCCGGGAAGGTAAATCGACAGTGTGAACGCTTCAAAATAAACGAAATCACAGCGGACCAATTTAAATGCTTGATTTTCATATGTGGTCTAAAGAATGAAGAAGATGCAGATGTCCGTACTAGAATGTTGGCACGCATTGAACAAGAACCAAATATGACATTACAAATGGTTACAACCGAATGTCAGCGGTTACTTAATCTCAAGCATGACACTGCGATGGTGCAACAGAAGGTTAATGTTGTAACGCGTGTGTGTGAGACTGCAGGTTATGCTAGACAGCGTTTATATCGATCGATTACAGTAGACACGGAAAACACGTATGAACGACCTAGTGCCCTGATTGGTCCCGCTCCGCTGTCTGTCCCAGCCAGTTGAGTGAAGAACGCAAGTCACAGCCTCTGAGTTATGAATCATTGTATTTCAAACATACTCCATTTATATACCAAGCAAACAACCCACATCGTACCATAAAATAGGAAACAACATTTACAAAATATTTAACAAATGAAATAAACATCGACCAATAAGAAATGTACATTTAAGGTTCAAGGACACCATTGAACTTAACATGGTAACTATTGGTCTCTTTTTCCGACTATCCCAACACCTCCCCTTTTTCGAAAGATGCGGAGTTCATATCTGCGTTTTAAAATTTTCTGCGTCCGTCCTCCCCCGCGAAATAACGTTGGGTCCTCATATACCCAAGCAACAATCAGTCTGATTCTATTTAAAGCATATTTTGCGCATTGAGTAGAGGGTTCACTAAAACTGACTAGATGATAAGAATTAGCGATTCCAGACATGACGTCATTAAGGTTTGAT